CAGCTCCTACTTGCTGGCAAATCTGACACAGAGGGGCTATGGAAAACTGATTTGCCACTCCTAACATTTCCATAATAGTTACAGTAGAATATGCTGATGTAAATCCATTCAGTGCTCCCTCCATCTGTTCATTGCCCAGATGATGTGACAACATAAAATGCAAAACCTACAAAACAGCAACTTAAATCCCATGAGAACAATCCAAATATTTCTTCCTGGAACAAGAAACAATCTTAGATGAGCCACCTCTCTATGTTTAGGAGTTCTGGCTTCATAACATTTTCAGTGTTTGCAGCTGACCAAGAGAAAAGTAGACTGATATAGCGCATTCTGTAATGAGATTGATGGGAATGGCAGCTAGTTAACTCAAAATCAGTCTACTGCACAGTTCTTACATGTCAAATAAAGAGACTTCTGTGAAGTAGATATCATTTCATTGTTGCAGGAGAACACACTTTTGATAAAAAGCTTTTGTGATAGAAAGTAGGGTTGGGAATCAAGAATATATATCCTATATGCTGTACGCAGCCTTCTCTGTGCTGTATGAATATGAGCACAAAACTAAAGAAATCTACTGCAGGGTTTGAGCTGAAATAAAAGGTTATATGAAGTAGTGACATATGTCTGGAATCTTTTTTTCCCTCAAGAGAAAATCCAAAGAGCAAACCAGAGTCTTCTTCCCTAAAACACATCTTTTATCAATTGCATTGTATGATAGCAACGTTCTATCATAGGAAAAACAGATCTGAGTTTAGATGGCTCTCATCAGGCTCTAGGCTTTTTTTGGATCTCCAGTTGTGGCTGTATGGGTTTGCAGTTGCAAACCTATGGAAAACAAATTTGCCCAGTACTGCAGGTGCATTTCAGCTACAATCATATTAATTGGCATTTTTATGTGCACCACAAGAGTCCTACAGTCTTGGAATTCTACTTTGTGCTGTCATTTTTTTCCTAGCTCCATTTGGAAACTTGAATTACTTGCTGGTCCCAGGTTAGATATCAGCATTGAGCACCTCCCTTTAATTCTCAGTGCCACCTCTTGATGTGAGATGCACCAGCTTGTTTCCCTCAGACATCTATAATTTAGTTCAGAGTATGACTTTAGCTTCAGTGTATAATTCAAGGAAGTTACTGCTTGTGGCACCAGAAGGATTGACCCTTGTTCTCAAGTCTGGAAAACAAATACTTAAGATCAAGTACTGCAGTTAAGATCTAAGTGGTTATTTAGTTAAATGTGACTAAATTATTTAAGGTTGAGGATGAGAAGAATTGTACTGTGGTACATCTAATGACCTGATGGCGAAAACATTTAGCTTTCTCAGCACACAAGCGTGCGCATATTTATATTTAGAAAATGCTTAAATACAGTGTCAGTAAAGCTTAATGGGAGGGGTGTTTAGACACCTTAAAACGATGTTTGCCTCTATATCTTTAGGGGCATGTCTGCTAATTCTGTTTCTCAGCATCACTGTGTTTTCCACTTAAGTCTTTGGTAGTTGTTGATATTCAGTAAGCACTCTACAGATTTAGTCTGTGTTAAGGAGATGAAAGCAGGTAACTCAGAGGAAACATCATAGAAAAATAATTATTAACTATGAGATATTCTCAAGTGAATCTTTTAGAGCTGCGTAAATAAAAATGAGCCAAAGTGGAACCCAATATGGAAATGCATCTATAATGGCACACCATGAAGGAAATACAGATACACACTTTCATTTTTAAAAATGGTGATTACTGAAGTGTCGAGTCTTTTCTAAACTAATGCACAATATAGAGAATATAAATAAAATGAGCATATTTATGATCCCTACTGTAATAATGGTTAATTTCTTATTGACACAATTTTTAATAATTAATAATAATACCAGTTGTATTATTATTTTTCTTAGAGCACTCTCAGTTGCCAAGCACCCTATTGTGTTATTCTGATCATGGAACAAGAAAATAGCCTCTGCCATAGGTATTTCTAATCTTTGTACAACCTAATCTCTGCAACAGGAGACAGGAGACAAAAGATGGCTACACTAGGTATCAATCAGATGCATTGAATCAAACGGCATGTTCAGCATGCTTTGATACACCGTGTTTTACCAAACGCCCAGGGAAGAGTTGTGTGCTTATATTACACTGTGTTTTAAAGACTGTAGAAGCATCATAATACTGAAGGCACTTTGGAGCTGCCCGCTAAAGTGGCTGGCTCTTCGCACTGTTAAACTGGTTTGTGTTCCTGCGACCGAAGTGGAGATAGACTCACAATGGTGTAAATCAGTTATGCTGAGATGAATGTTATTTCACTTCTTGCCATTATTTCACTTCCCTTTCTTGTTTTTTCTCCATTCTTTGTTGTCTTGTACCCCTTCATGATACTATAGAGTGAGTGTCTTTTTCTTTTACTTTGGCTTTCTCTTTCTTGGACAAACATTCTCTGTACTGTTTGCAACAATCCTCCTACATGTGGCTGGCAGATAAATAGATTTATCGTCCTTTGGTTCTGCTGTGAAATGCTGTACCATTAGAATACAACTACCTTCTTCCTTGTGACTGTTGCTTTGCCTACCTATCCAGCACTACTGTACAAGTCAGTACAAATTTTTTTGGCCTTTTACTACCATATACAAACAAATGCAACTTGCATCATTCTGCCAGGTGATGCTGTTCATTTTCCCTTTTGAATTAACTCAGCTTTATGGTCTCTGTCCTTACCTAGATTAACTGGATACAGGTTTTCATTTGCCTGTGCAGTGTTGGAATACAAAACGTGTTTCCCTGGAAACTTTAAATGGCTGAAGCAATCATTTACACGTACAATATCGTCACCACAAGTGCACATTTATTCAGTCGAAGTTAAAAACGCAATAAAAATCTCTACCTGTTTGTTTGAAAATATTTGCATTTAAAACACCGTAAGAAAGCCCCTTACCTAATTTCAGAGACCAAAGATTTAATTGTTCTTATAATAAAACTGGATTGTGAAAAGATTTCACTTTTAGACTATTTGTATTCACCAGAATAACTGTTTAGAACACTTCGGGATTCTGCTGAAATATTTACCTCTAATTGCCATGCAAAACACTTCTGCCCTTTCCTCTGGGTAGGGCAAAAACAACTATCATTTTAGCATAGATTGTTTGCACCAGTCAAGAACATTTGGATTGTTTTAATCATTCTGTTCACAACTCTGACTTTCTCTTCAAAGCTATTCATAGAAATTTCTTCAAAGTGTTATTTTTTACTGACAGATGCCCGTTCAGTATTCTCTCCTCTCTCCTCTCCTGCCTTTCCCCTTCCCTTCCTCTCCTCTCTACCCTTGCTCCTAAGCCAAACACAAAGGTATTGGGAAATAGGAAAAATACACACATGTGTACATAGATTCACATATGTGCTTGCATATGCACATATGCAGTTTCACATGGTGTCGTTAGGACACTTCAGTTGTAGTATTTAATGAAACTGCAGCTCCCAGGCTTTGCCATCCTCAGCCTGCCTTAGGAGGAAACCTCAATACAGCTGTAGCCAACTGCTCTCTTAATGCTGATTTCTAAAATACTTGACCAAATGAGATCCAACAGCAGTATGCAACACTCAGCATGCCGAGAGTTTTGACTAAGACAACAGTTACTGATGTTTGGATCATTTAGCTTAAATTTGTCCCCTTTTTAAATAGGCAACTGTATGTTTGATAGTGTTTTTACACTGTGTTATTGGTCTATTTTTTAACTGGAAGCTATAATATTAATAATTAATAGTAATTGTGTACATAATGATATTCAGGAACCTTTAGGCACTTTGATGTATTTACAGAGGCATTATTACTTTTGTTTTTCAGAAAGGAAAACAATGGGTGAGAAGGTGACCTGCCAAAAGGTCATGCAGCAAATATTGACAAAATTGACTTCCCGAAGGAAATCTTGGCTTCAGTGAAATCAAAGGCAAAACTCACAGAGACAGCAATGGGCTCTCATCCCAGCCTCCCGTCCTGACTAGATGCGGCTGAGGGATGCTGAAGATAAAACGTGTTACTCGAATGTAGTTGGGGTATTTTAGGACTTCATGCTTTTATTCACAGCTGAACACTTTCTGAGAATGATATGCTACTGTGCCTTAGGTGTTATTACATTGGCTCTCATGTGGTGGTGCTCATGTTTGAAAATACAGCGGGGTTAGAAATATGTCCCTTTCCTCCTCCTTTGCAGAGCTGAGGGGTGAACTGGATATATAAACAAATGTTCATCGGCATAATCACAGACTTGTGTGACACTGGAAGGATTATTATTCTATAATTAAAGTGCCATAAGAAGTGTTGAAGTAACAGTTACTGGGACTAGATGTGTCTGTGGATACTGCTTTCTTCTTACCGTGTCAGAAAGTTAGTGGTAATGACAGAATTATGTAAGGAAATGAATCATGAAAAGTGAGAAAAAGAATCTGAAACATTTAATGCTAAATTTAAGGATTCAGAAAGATACTCAAATTCCACACAGAATGCTGGGACCAAATGCTCTCACTCTTTTCAGCCTGACTATTTTCTTTAACACTGACAAGCATTATTACACTTCTTGTGCTTCATCCTCCAATTTATATCTTGTCTAACTTACATGTCAGTACATTTATGTCTGACGTCAGCCTGGCTCTTACTATCTTCTTTTTATAAGAAGTTTACCTCACATTTCTATCAAACGTCTCTGTCACTGAATTAAAATAGACTTATTAAAGATAATGTCTGCACTTCCAAAACAGGTGCAATCACCACCTTTTCATTTTCACCTAGTTTAAATATTTTTAAAACTTTAGCTAACATATCTATCTTTTTTTCCCTTTGGAACTTCATTTTTTCAGAGTGCTAATCTTATGCAGAAAGGTTGAAATATATTAGTAATAAATTCATAGAAACCTTTTAGAATATTACAAAGTGATGGTACGGTTAAGTAAAATAAAGCGGGCTGAGTGATGACCAGGTTTTCCAAATGATGATTGTAATGAGCGGGGAAGTGAAAGGTTACCTGAATGGCATTTGTTACATTCCATCCTGCTTCCCAGCTGGTGATCAGTTTGACCTGGGCATGTGGCAGGGGAGCTGGGGACTTGTATTCCGGATCCTGGTGGCAAACGTCAAGCTCAAAGTTCAGGGGTCCCTCTGGTTCCTCTCTCTCCTCACTGTGAACTCTGTTCAGTTCATCTCTTCTAGCAAAATTCACATGTTCTTCATCAGTGTCTAGGCAGCTGTCCCATCTCACCATTCCCAAAAAGAGAGATGGTGTTTCCCTGAAGCAGTTGAAAAGAGATGAAAAGGTCTGCTTTGGGTGAGCCATCCTGAATACTGAATATTAAAGTAAAACCTTTCCTTTCATGTCTTTATTTTTTTTAGCAGTTGTACATTGTTAATCCTTTTGTTAGGTTAGCCTTGATATTGTAGCTAAGATTAATGAAGTTTGTTGTCCTTAGTTCATTTTTTTTGTGCCCGTTTCAAATGCCAGCCAAAGAAATACCTCCAGGGTCTTTAACATACTGCCCAGAGTAGTCTGCAGTGAGATTTAGTAGTCTGCAAGCTGCAATCTGCAATTCAAATCCTTTTTCCTTTTACCTATGGTATCTACTTAGATCACTCATTCATGAAGCATCTACAGGTGGCTGCAAGAATCTCTTCCTGGAAATTATGCATGTTTCTGATACAAATAAATAGTTCTGCCAAAAGGAAAAAAAAATGCTTCATTAAAAACTAGAGTTGATGGACTGACTGCTAAGTAAATGCATGTAAACAAGTTCACTTTTCCAGATGTGAGAATTTTCTGCTGTATTTCAGTGTCTACAGAGGTCAGTAGAACTTAAAAAATGTTCTTAAAAAAGCTCAAAGTTGCAAGAAGAAAAAAAAAGTAGCTTGTTCATAACTATATCTAATTCACAGTTGCTGGTGACAGTTAGGAGAACAACATAGAGCTGTGATATGTTTACTGCATGGAGGTAAATGGTGATACATTATGATTATTCACACTGCAAAATCCTAAAAATAGCGTTTACCAACGTATCCTCTTTTTCCCTTGGACGGCCCATGGAATTTTTGAAAGAAAGGTAATGAGAGAGAGTTGGCTTGCACAGTTGTCGGATTATTTATGCCTATTTTCTTTTGTTGTTTCCCATACCTGCCCTATTTTTCTCTTCCCTCTTTGTTTCTTTATTTAGGGTACTGGGTTTTAACAGCTATATTTCTACATTAACAACTGAATAACTGGTACAACACTGCTGATCATGCTGAAAAAAAGCATTTGCTTATAGAGTCTGAATTTGACCATGTGAGATCGATTACAGTTCTTGCTTGCACTAGCATGTCCTCCCTGTCGGCTGAAACTTCAGGAATTCTCAAAAGAAATTTAGAAGTTTGTATTTCTGAACTAGAATTCTGAACTGATGACTTTTCTGCCAGATATATGTGAACCGCAGTCTCACTAGGAACTCACAGGTCTTGCCCGTTTCCAGAATGAAATATCCTTCATGCAGGCCTTGTCGTCTGTTTTTTCTTACGTGCTCAGGATTAAATAAACATGGAGACAGCCTTCACTGTTCTGTATTTTAAGATCAGACACTGAAATTTCTCTTGTTCGTTTTATGTAACTAATATTCTGAAGCTCTCCACAGTTTATCCATCTGTTCTAAAAATTAGAAGTATTTCAGAAATACTACCAATACAGAATTATGTTCCTGTACCTACCTTGTTCAAGCCTCGTCACTGACACCTGTATGTGCCATGTACATGGGCTCACTGCTAGATGCTGTACAGTATGTCTTTTATACATTGTGAAATCTGTTAATATTGACCTGAGCTGAACAACACATGGCTCTTGCATCCCAAAATATCCATTTACTGGTATTTCTGAACACTGAAGTGAATGTCACTATGCACCTCACAAACATATCATGATCTCCTGGAATGACCTGGCAGGTGCTTGAAAATATGACTATGGTTTTTACAGCAAATTTTGACCTCAGTTTAGTCCTTCTCTCCTCAAAGCCATTCCAACAGAAAGCTTCAGGCAGGTTTCTGAGGGGAACTGCTCTATAATAGGTGTATATACTGCTCGCATTAAGTAAACCTGGTAACAATATCCACAGAAGGAAAATAATGACAGAAAAATTACAAGGTTTATTTTCCTAATACAGACAGAATTATCTGAGATACCCAACTGGAACTGTGGGAAGTGGAAAATTTAAGTACCTATTTTCAGTCTACTCTTAAGCGTTACTTCTGTAGATGTTTATATTTCTGGACAGAAACATTTTGTTTTCCTTGACTTTACTTCATGTGAAAGGTAGAACCTCACGAGACACCAATTAGCATTTTAAAAGCTATTTTTTTATTAATTAAATACACATAAGAACCATTTTAACATACTGAGGAATTGTATTACACCAAATACAAAATCTGTTGTTGTTCATTTACAACTGATGCATTACATAAGAAATTGCATTGTTTATCTGGTGTTTGTAGATGTTTTCTTCTGTCTGAAGGAATTTATTGAGACAGCAAACAGTGCTGCTTGGTGGGGTTTTTTTAGGTTTTTGTTTTGTTTTGTTTTTATAGGGTTTTGTTTTTTCTTTTTTTAAGTTTGGGGGTTTTTTTTCTTGTAAATTAGTCAGGGTTTCATGCAGCTATCTTAACCAAGGGAAGTGTAAGCAAGTTTAGGAACAGAGAGATACCTCTGGATAATAGAACCATTTGATTTGCCTGTACATGGTTAGAGAGGAAGTGCCCAGTTTTATCCAAGGTCCTCTGACAGCAGTGGAAAGCATCCCATTTTCAGATTTCTTATCTGCCAGACACATCACATCTGGAAGTCAGGAAAATTAAATAATGGTCAAAACTGTTCTTTCACAGTTACACAAAAGAACTTAAAAAATACTGTAGAATCTGTTTTTAAAAATAACTTTTAGATGGTTTAAATTCACTGCTTCCCTACTGACTACCAAATACAAATGTAAGTAAGTTTATATGTTTCCAGAAATATCTGAATTTTGATAAAATATTTATATTAGATCTCCCAAGCTTGGTATACATATATATATGTTTATTTCAGTGAAGTGTCATTATTAATCTCTGGCATACAACATAGCACAGGACAACACAGATTATCATTGTACAATATTTATTATTATTTATTTGTAATACTGTGTAGAGATCCTAGCAGCCACCTTTGGATTAAGTGTCTTAAAATCAAATAGTAGGAGACAGCTTCTTTATGAAAGGTTTACAGTTTAACAAGAGAAGACAGACAGAATCTTGGCAATCTGGAAGTCTATCCTTCTTCTTTGTCTACTGGGCATGGATTTTTCATTCTATTTATTACCTGCAGCTTTGATTTTTGCAGTCAGTAGGACAAATTATTCTCTTAGTTGCATCACCGTATATCTACTGACTGTTTTCACAGACATAAATAATGAGCATAGGAATATATATCAAATTTGGTTTTACTATTGCATTAAAAACTGCTGTCTAGATGACTGCAGCAAATTTCGTATTTATTGTGCTACTTCCAGGCCATCAGAAATAAACAGTAAAGGCAAGAAATGAGAATTGAACTCAGTCAAAGGGTAGTCCACTTCTTCACTTTTCCCATGCACTACTTCTGCTAGGCATTCTTTCTACAGATGTTCTTTATCCACACAAGCCACTATTATAAGTTCAATTAAGCCTTATGTCTTGTCTTATGAAAAACTTCTTGATTTATGGTAGGCCCATAAGTAAGGTTATCATTGTCCTCGTCATCTATTCACCTATTTCTATTTCAGGACTTAAACTGAGATTAAAATTTTCTCCTTGTAAAGCAGCAGACTGTGACTGTGATTCATGAGCTTGACAAGGCTGAATTTCAGGAACAGGAAGAGTGGGTGGATAGGCTTGGAAAAGACATCTTTCTTGGTCAGTAGGATTTCATAGTGCAGCTGCTTATGCCTGAGGGAATGAGGTCTTCGGAGCGGCCACTTGCCTTGGCCATGTTTTCTTCAAAATCTATTTGACTGTAGGATCCTTCAGTTATACCCTTCAGAGACAGTGTTTCAGAACAGCAATGAAAAGCAGGTCAACCAAATAGTTTCTCAACCCCATATGCTTTTATCTTACATAGCAATGTTTATACAGATCTTTTTATATAATGGTCAAACCTATCTCTTCCTTATGAACTCACTTTCTCTGTAGGACATGGCTTTGTCTCAAGTACTGGGGTAGTAGCACAGCATGGCTGCCTAGCATACTCTTTCACAAGGGAGAAGATCTCTCACCGCAAAAAAGGTATCGTAAGTAGTCACAATTCTTAGTTACGAGGCCAGCTGGGGCAAAGACAGCTCTTCTAGGTATGTAAGACATTTTCTCTAGAATAAATGGCTGCTTAGAGGATATACACTGCTATTACTTCCCATAATGGAATCGGTTTACAACTACAGGGCTTTTTCAATCTTTCCCATGTCAATGCACTAGGCCTATGTGTAAACCTGGGTCCAAGAGCATGACGATTTGAGAGTTAGGCAAAGATAGATCTGTGGTGTTTTCCCACAGAACCCTGAAGCTGTAAGATGGAGCAGCCAGGAATGCAGGTGCACTGCTGAGTGCCCATGTTGCACAAGCTCAATAGAGTCCCTTTTGGTAAAGAAACTCTTTTTTGGTATTAGTCTAGATTTCAGTACTGCCTGAATGACTTTAAATTAAAATAGAGATGACAGTGCCAAATGAAAAAAACACCTGAAACAAAACAGTTTGACAGGCATATCCAGAAAAAATATCACAGACTATCCATCCACCCTTTGCCTTGTGTAGGTTAATGGTGACTGAGATGAGTAATATTTTTTTTTGTAGTGAAATAAGGATTTCAGTTTTGGTACTGTGGATCCCTAATACAAACATCTGCAACATTTTTTTACACTTGTAACTGATGCTTCTTATGAATGCTCAGGTTTCTTATCAAAATTAATCTTCTCCAGATGTTTCTGCCAGTTATACAAATTCGGAAAGCAGACACAGAGAAGGCATAACACATGATGAAAGATAGTATTAGTAGCTGATTGTACATTTATGGAATGCTTTCTTCACATTCGCTTACATTTATTTGTATGCTTTTGTAAGGCTTTCTGTATTGTTGCTTGCTCTATGTGTATTACTCTGACAACTATTTAAATAGTTGATGTTTCTGCCAGTTATACAAATTCGGAAAGCAGACACAGAGAAGGCATAACACATGATGAAAGATAGTATTAG